AAAGGAAACAAAATTTGGGGTGCTTGCCGATCTATCAAAAACGGAACTCCTGGTGTATCAAAAACGAAACTTTTGCGACACAGCTCAACAAACTTTCACCGTGATTGGATGATCGAAACGACATACTGATATCAATACTCTATCATCTGACTTTAATTCGGAAAGCGGTGAGGTAATTCGCGAGTTAGCTACTAACGCTTTTTTTTTGCACTCTACAGTCTTTAAGTACATTAGAAGAACGCAAACCTACTTTTTTTGCAAAATGTCTCAGGATATTGTCTCCAGCAACAATAAAGATAAGAGAAAGGCACAACACTATGTGATGGGAGATGCTACAATAGTGTCAGATAGAGTAACTATTCCAGAGGTGAATAAACATTTAAACTTGGTTGGTAAGGCCTTGTTGTTGTGCCGTAACATGATCACAAACCAATCGTGAATGCAAAGAAATCTAAAAGACTAGCGTATGTCTGCTGCTATAGGTAAACTGATATGGTTACGACGACACGTTAATACCGCTATGAGGTAACTCATAAGGAAATTGTGAAAATAATACCCATACAGTCCCACAACGTTTCGATCCCCTAAAATAAAGCCCATTCTAAACTTTATCCTATACTCCCCTCTTTCACTAATTTACACTGCTTTTGTCTTTTACTTTCTCGCTTGCATCTATTCAGACTGTCGTGTCCATACCAACTGGTAACCAATTGGTTGATTGAGCATGAATTTGAATATTGGTTGCTTTATATCAATAAGCAATCGAAATCCATTCTTCAAAGCACACATTTATTGAAGTCGAGTTTTATACATTTTATACTGGCTCATGGTCACTCCAAAATTTAACTACCAACATTACCACGTTATAGCTATTCGCATCGTCGAAATAATCGTTATTTGGGGAGCAACTTACGATAAAAAAGGATGTTTTTAAACATATTAGTAACGTTTATCTGGATGTTAAGGCAGATCGATAAGATGTACTTTCTGTTTACGTTTGATGATGCGCATATTTACTAGAACCTACATTAGAAATGGGGGTTTTTTTTGGAGTAACTTGATTATGCCCGAATATGGTAATAAATGAGTATGAAGTATAATGACGTTCGTCTCATATCTGCTGTTTCATTAACACCAATTAAAGATCATCCCCCGCATTAGTAAATCAGTTGATTTCAATTTCGCGATTTTATTGGCATAATGTGGCGAATAAGCATTTGTTTTTACATCAATTCAATTCAATTTCAAGTTCAATTGAAAGGTGGTTTATATACGTTTCGAAAAATTTTGCTTCCGCAGAGTAAATAAATAAATAAATTGTTACTGCGGCGAATTGTGTGTGTTATATTCTTGAAGAAATGAATATACTGCATTAATATACACACATAACGTAAATAACCAGCCTTGACACATTGTACTCCAATGACCTACTGGAACATTGCTCCAGTCCAATGCTCCATTGCTCTAATGGTAAGCCACTGGATATACCTCCATTCACAAAATAAAACCCGTGATATTAAACCGTGAGATGAGATGAGATAAGATGACGCTTTGACATTTTATTGGCCATTATTATTGGTTATCCTAAAAAGGCAACTTTTCCATTCGCTAATGGAGCAATGGAACGTACTCCATTGATTCCATTCGCTCCATTGCCAACAAAATTACTGTGCCACAATTGAGTCAATGGAGCCAATGGAGCCAATGGAGTACAAGCTCCATTACTCTATTCCATTGAATTCTGAATGGAGCAGATATACACCCACCTACAAAAAATGAATAAAATCTTTGTCAATCAATTAGTAAACCATATAAAAAAACTCTTTTTTCAAAATCTATGTTGGCTGTATCCACTAGCAAATAGCAAAAAAATTTGTACCAATATGAAGCTAATTGACTACAGTTTTCAGAAAAAATAGTGGTAAATTTATGCAAGTTTCCATAATGAAGCTGTGATTCGCCGAAGTGATAGTATACAAATTAAACATATGATTACATATGTGTAACGTATATACTGCCCCTTCGGCGAATCACAGCTTCATTATGGAAACTTGCATAAATTTATCACTGTTTTTTCTGAAAACTGTAGTCAATTAGCTTCATATTGGTACAAAAATTTCTGCCGTTTGCTTAGTGGATACAGCCAATATAGATTTTTGAAAAAAGAGTTTTTTCATATGGTTTACTAATTGATCGACAAAGATTTCATTCATTTTTTGTAGGTGGTGTATACCAAGGCTGTAAATAACATAACATAATAATAAAGAATCACCATTCGATCAGATGCATAGTATGAACTCGAACTATATAGACCGTCCTCCATTAATCAAACAATTATTATGGACTTGGATTACGCAAACATGAGTGGACTACGATATCTATTTCTATCAACCTCCCAGTAGAACATCTTACCAATCTCCTAGTCGAACCTTTTTTCCTTCTAATACTAACCCTCTCGGCAGTATTAACGATTACACAGGTAATAAACCGCTGAATACCATGCCTTACGGATGCGTTGAAAATAATGAAGAGCGAGTTAACTATTCAGTTTTCGTGACTCGAAAAACCATAGTAAACCCTCATTCGTCGTCCCCCCACCCTCCCCAAACATCAAAAGTCAACACCATATACTTCTACACTGTTGTCAAATTGTAAATTTATTTCCTTCTGCTGTTAAAATCTTGCTTTTTAGTTCTTAAACAAAGTATTATTCGTTAATTAACTTTCCGACAATGTATATTGTGTCTATACAAGTGGTATTAACAATAGATGTAATCGGAAATAAAAAGTCTTTACAAAAATTACCATTATTTCTGCGTTTAAGTAAGTCGATGGAAAGCAAGCAATAACATATGAAAAGATATCCTAATTCAACATAACTAGAATAATAATGATAATAAATTATCCAAATTTACCAATACCAAGAAATCCGATATATAAAAAACGAAGGACAATCGTATAATCTTTCCACCCTCCCACATAATTGAATAATGGACAGTAGTCTTTCCAGGTTAGCATCTGCTTTCATGACAATTACTATGCATCCATGACTCGTAGCGTTCGTTGTCATGCCAGAATTGTTGGAAAGAGTAGAAGTAGACAATGCTTGAACTATTGAATTGGAGGGAGGATAATAAATCGAGGATGAATTGTTGACTAGGTTTTCGTTGTTTTCGACGTATCCGTAGGACGTGGTATTCAACTGTTCATTTCCGCGCGTGTGGATGTTATCGTTGGTATTCCAAAGAAAAGCAGCTTGACTGGAAGACGCTTGAAAGAGCGGTTGATAGGAATAGTTGTTACTGAACTCGCCACCGACCGTTTGATCCAACGGAATGCTATTTGCATCCATACTATTACTATTACTATGCACACGATCCAACGGAAGACCGTTTGCGTCCACAACATACATTTGATCTGATGGAATATCGTTCGCATAACTTCCGTTGTTTGTTTGGTTATTAACGCCTGCCATATCGGAAAGTGAGTATGATGAGTAGATATTTGTATGAATTTAGAAAATATGTCGTACTTACGTCCTTTATTTTTATAAAAGTTACAAACAGAACAGTTACTGATGAATATCTCCACTAATTCTTGCGTAATGCATGCGT